ATAATATACTTTAATCATTTCCTCCCTATCACCCCCCTTGCCCTATCTACCTTTTTTTTTTTTTTCAGTACTGAGGATTTAAGGATTGAATCAGGACCTTCACACTGATCTACATCCCAACCCTTTGTAAATTTTTCGTTTTGAGTCAGGATCTCGCTAAGTCCCTAAGTCATCCAGGCTGGGCCCAAACTTGTGATCCTCCTGCTCCAGCCTCCCGCATTCTGGGATTATAACCATGCACCATGGCATGCAGCTTCCAGTTTTTAAAAATATTGCTTAAGTGAGTCTAATGCACAGCCATGTTTGAGAAAGCCTACCTCACAGAATACGCTGGTCCCTCTTGTGTGGAACTGTGCCAACAAAGCTTTCTCAACTCCAGACATCCTCTACATGGTTGGGTAACCATCCAGGGCAAACATGCATCAGGACAGCAGGACATTGCTAGGATTGATCCTGGGGGCCTTCAGAGCCTGAGGTTAAAATACATTTTGAACAGGGATGGTTCAATGGAAAGCATTTTTTTAAACCTTCAAACTTTGGGAATGAGGACCAGAAGAAAGAGTAGAGGTTTCTAAGGGAAGCAGAGAGACACAGAGCAAAGCCACAATTATGCATAGCCAGCCATCTACAGAGTGTGATTTCTAAAGGCCCACTGCCTTGAAATTCCATTATGAAAAATTCAATCCTCTGGGTAAGACTTTGTTCCTTATTTAAATGGAAATACCTGTGAATCACATCTGATGGGAGCGTCTTATCCCCACCTGAGAACACAGTGTGATGAGGAGTGGGGAAGATGTGGAAAAAGTGGAGGGAACGGTGAAGTGGTGTTGCCAAAGGAGGACTCACGCTTACAGGGCATTTTGCAGGTAGTGGCAGCTGGACTGCTATAGTTTAAGAGAAAACTGTTCAGAACTATAATGGACAAGCATTCTGTCCTTTTCCTCTGCCTGCCTTGCTGAGGAGCTCCTTCACTCACTCCTGCTCAAGCTGCTAACTCCTGAAGGAGTAGGAAAGCAGCAGGAAGGCCGCCTCACTTGGAAGTGATGGCTTCCTGGTCTAGGTTGGCCCTGGCATGGCTTGGAGATGCAGCTGGAGATGTTCCTCTGGCTCGCTGTGTGGCCTCCAGCCAGTCTCCACATAGCTTTAGTTTCCTTGTATGTCAAACCAAGATAAATACCACCCTTTCCACCTCTCTGGGGGATCGTGAGGTGTACGTTCTGCCTCTTTCATTAACTTTGTCGAAGGACCATAGAAAGACAGCTTTACGATGAATTATTTTTGCTCTGAGCATGGCTTTATAATATGACAGCTTTTGTAGCCTTAGGAGAAAGGTGAACATAAGGGCAGGGTAGAATGGTGGAGAGCACTACACCCTTATTCTGAGGGGCAGTGTTTTTAATGGAAGAGAAACAGCAAAGGGGGTTTAGAGTTGGGGTGCAAGAGAGAGAAGTCTACAATTGGTACCAGATGCCATCGGAAGCTAACGACCTGACAAACACCATGCTCATAAAACAAATTCCTTAAAAAGGAAGCAAATGGAAATATAAGCTAGTGAAAAAATTTGCAGCAGCTGCCCTAAAACCATATCTCACTTCATAAACAGGTCTTGGTTTGGTCCTTTTTTCCCTTTTCTTTTTTCTGGACTTGGTCTTATTTTGGGCCACTTTCCCCTCTCATGTGCTCCCTGTCTTGCTCTTCCTCCCTGGGGGCTCCACTGCTGCCCACCCTGGGAGTCAAGCAGCTGGGCTTTCTGCGGTTCACCTTACTTTGATGGAAGAAGACTCATTCAGTTTATGTTTTCTGTCCTGTCTCAGCCTGTGTTTGTCCTCAATGACATGGATTAATTGGATGAAGTCACCAAAAATAGCATGTACTTCTTCACATTAATTTCTTAGCAATCAGCTCACAGGAACCAAGGTGTTAACAGAGCTTGGAGATCTTTAAGATCACTAGTGAGGTATTCTGATCTCATCCCATAAAGGATGGTCAGGCTTTAGCACTTTATTTCAAATATTAAATAAAGAGTCAGGTACAGATTTATTTCTTATATTGTATAACCAACAATCAGCATCGGATTTGGGGAATTTATGCTCTCATTAATAATTCCCCCTCCCTCAATTCATGTATTTGTCCCTTCATCAGGTCCCATGATGGACATCACATAATCACTGGGAATATCAAGGAATAAAGGAGTAAAAATTTTCCTTCACAGTACTCACCTCCTGTTCCCCCATCACATACCTAGCAAGCATGAATGAAAGAAATGAGAAAGTCACTGACATATGATTTAAATCCCTTAGGTGTAATGTTAGGGGCAGCCAATTTATCACAGTCAGATCAAATCAGCTCTTCTTGGGCTACTGCTTTTTTCATCAACTCTCAATTACATATGGCAGTATATGCACATTCAATGACATTTTATTTGCACTTTCTTTATTTTTGCCCAGCTCTCTGATATAATCACTGACAAAATCCAAAGGCAAACAGAGGACACTAATGATGAGATTCACTAGTCAGTTTGGCTAGTAATTAGCATCACTGGCAACAAAATCAAGAGCAAGTAAACATCTTGTTAGAAAACATCTTCTTGGTGTCTCCCACACATACCCCACATTTACATGCCTTACAGAAATGGTCCTTGTTCTATCACCAGTGCGAAGAACAATGCTTTGAAAGAGTAAGTGCTTAGTAAATGCTTACTGATGAATAAATGAGTGGGCCAAGATGGTAGATAATAGTTTTATCTATTTAATGTTGGATAATATTTTTGTATTTCAGATCCCTGTCACACATAATTTAGCAAATTTCCCATTTTAATAGTCATTCTTTTACTTTTATGTTTGTAATTTGAACAAATTTAATTTAGTATGTTTTCATTGTGTTTACTATAGCAAAGTGTACGGTAACTGTAAAAGTAAGTAGGAGGTAGTATTTCTCTTCAAGAAGTTAATACTCTAGTATTAACCCAACTACTAATTGCATTTGGATAAAGGGGTGAATAAACATTAATTGAAGACCAAGAAAATGCATACATAGTGCAAGAAAAGAGTAAAAAATGTTAGAAGGTAGTTATTTTTACAATTTCACTGGGAAGTTTGAAGGAAGAAGCTATCCTCAGGGGCTTCTTGTAGAAGGAAGACCTTTTAGAAATTTCAACAAGTCAAGTAAAGGTACAGAAGTGAACGATAAAGTAGGATGATCAACAAGAAACAGATCACGATGGGAGGGTCTGGGCCACTGGTAGTGGAGCAGCAGAGGAAGTTAACCTGAGAGCAATAACACATGCCATTATATGTTATCGTTTGTACTTAAATGTCCCCCAAAAGGCTTAAGTGTACAGGGGTTGGACTTTTGGAAGGTGACTGGATCATGAGGTTCTATACCCATCAGTGGATTAATCCACTAAAGAGTTCCGAACTGAATATGCTACTAGGAGGAGGGGTGGGTTACTGGGGGCATGACTTGGAAGGATATATATCTCCTTCCCCAGATCTGCCCTTTACTCTCTGCTTTTTAGCTGCCATAACGTGAGCAGCTGTACTCTGCTAGACCTTTTCTGTTCTGGCACCAGCTGACTATAGATTGACTCCTAAAAACCGTGAGCCAAAATCAACCTCTCTCCTCCTTTATGTTGTGAGTGTCAGGTATTTTGTCCCAGGGATGAGGAAAGTGACTAGGACACCATTTCATCTCATAGGAGAAGGAGCTGAAATGCTAGAAAATAAGTAATTCATTCTATATCATATAGATAGCAAATGGAAGATACAGAATTCAAATTCATTAGCCTGGTCCTAATGCTTTTTAAAAATCCCTATTGCATCCTTGCTGTTATAAAGGTCCAGCCTGAGTCTTCTTGAACCCTAGGAAGTTTATACATCTCTCCTGTTTCTGATTATTTGCCCCTATTAATCCAGAAAGCAGTTCTCTGCTGAGATGATGGCTGTGTAATGTCAGGCATTTCATAGGGATTCAGTATGTGTGAATTTCCTCTTCCCTTAGTGGATGTAATTTACAATTAGTATTGCTGATATTCAGTGGTATGTGCTGCTTTGGCCATACAAGTAGTCAAAATATTTCCTTACCAATCAGTAAAGAGATGTTACTTTTGTCTGATGTCTCAGATAATCAGGATCTTTATTCAGTGCCTTGTGGGACCTCTCTGATCAAGCATCTAAAAATTGATACCTGATACCACCATGGGTCTCCAGAATTCATTCCTGAGCTTTGTACAGGATCTGTTCAGACTGCTTGGGACCCAGCAGTGCTTGTTGTTCAATATTTCAAGTATTATCCCCTGATCCTTTCATTTTTTATATCATCCAGAACTCCTGGATCTGCTCTGCACCTTATTCCATCACCAGTGATTCTCCTGGAAGAGTCATGTGAAGTTGGTTAGTTTTTACTCGTTGGGTGATATTGTTTGTTTATCATGTGCCATGGTTCTAGGAAATACACAAGATGATGAGCTAAATGTAGATTTTGAAGACAGGCTATTGTCTGTAATTAAGTGTATTTCCTGGAGGGATCTGTGAAGTCACTTCTGCTATTGGTTTTAAGCCAGTCCTAAGAAGCTGTCTTAATTACATTTTTCATTGCTGGGACAAAATACTCAACATCCACAAGTTCAAGGATGAAAGGTTTATTTTAGCTCACATTTTGTAAAAGATCAGTCCATAATTGGCTGCTCCCAAGGCAGGGCAGCATGGTAAAAGGATGAGGCAGAGAAGAACAGTTCATGGCATGGCTTGGAGGACACAGTGGGCCTTCCTTCTTCTTCCCTTTTCATTCCATCCAGGCCATTGGTTGTTGCTATCCACACCCAGGTGGGTCCTTTCCTCTTCAGTAAATCTATTGTTCACACTCAGAACTATGCTAAACAACCAGTGGACTAACCCAGTGTCATACACCCATGATCCAGTCACCTCACCTGAGCATGTGAGGCTTTGGGTGGACATCTAGACGTAAACCCTGACACATGCTTCTGCTTCTGTTGTCTCCAGCTGTGTCCACCGGCCTTGTGGGGAACAGGGCAGCTGTGTGCCATTGCTGCTTGATCACACGGACATGGTGAACTGTACCTCTAGCAGCCCAGGTCACATGAAGTGTGCTATCACCTGTCAAAGGGGATTTGCCCTTCAGACCAGCAGTGGGCAGTACCTCAGGCCTATTCAGGTGAGTTGCTTATCAGGACCGAACTCCTGGGGCAGGAAGCTATTTATGGTCCTCTGGCTGGACTGGGGAAGGGTGATGTTTAAACCATTTAAAACAAAAAAATTAGGGCTGTAACATGCAAACGAAGCACAGCTTAATAAAAATGCAAGGTATATAAGAACATGTGCAAGTCTGTTTATGAGGATGTGAATTTGCTCTCTAGGTAGGCAATAGACGTGAATGCTTGTTCTATTCTCCCTTGTTTTCTTTTCCTGCCAGAAATGATGTTCCTCACTTGTAACTTTGAGATAAGAATACAAAGATATAGACCCAGTCTTAATTTGCAGTCAAGGTACATTTCAATCAGTGTATCTATGGTCCCTTACCTACCCCAGCCCCACAACCCATCTTACGAGAAGGCTGGAGAAATACAGCATGATTTCACCTCAAAAGCATTAAATCCATTCCTGAGAGACAGAGATGCTATCGTGATACTAGCTATGGCTGAATTGTCTATATTCCTACAAGCCCAGTTCCAAATTTCTATAACACCATTTCTAAGACTTCAATGTAGTTTAGAGATAATAGAATATATTGGTTAAGATTATGTTTCAAGACATAGATCTGAAGGAAATTTCAACTCCACTATGTACTAGGCATGTAACTTTAGGTAAAAGCGAATAAAACAAACTCTTTAAGCTTGTTTCCACATTTGTAAAAGAATTGAAATGCAAATACTCATTTCATTGAGTTATTAAGATGACTGGATGGAAATAATTTAAAAGTTTCCAGTAAAATGATAGGCATATGACACTCTGATAAGCTGCCATTATCATCAACATAATAATGTTTTCCTATGAACTTTGTTCTCCAGTTTTATTTTACAAGATTGCAACACTCTACAGAGGAATTTAAAAGATGAAAGCAACCTTTAGAAAACATGACCATGTTTTGAGATAAAAAGGGAGGCACTAGACAGAATATACTAGTGTCCAAGGGGAGAACCATGAAGATGTATTATCAGAAAAGAGTAGATGTATGATTGTTAGATATACACAGTTTAGAAGATTGGATTTTTAAAAATTTTTTGTCCCAATTGTTTGCTTAATGGGTTGTGAACATGTGAAAGTATTTCACTTGCTTAAAAATAGTTAGAAAAAAAAAATAGTTAGAAAGACAACCTTGAGTTTCAGAGGCTTTAAGTTCTGTCCAGAAACAACTTTAATGTCTTTTGAAGAACTAACTTCTTGGCCTAAGATACTTCAGTTAGAAAGGCAGAGCTGTTATGACCTGTCCTTAACTCGTCTCAATTCAGGAGAAGTATGTGTACACTAAAGTAAGGTAGAAAGAATAAAAAAGAACAAAAATGTAGGATCTAAATATGCTTGCATGATATATAAAGCAGAGAGAAGCAAACACAATGTTTACAATACATTAAAATTAGGAGCAATTTAAGACACAATGGATGGTACCTGAGAAAGCCAGGAGGAAAACCAGGCAGTATGTGCAGAATTGGAGAGGCATTCTTTAAGTGATTAGTGGCTTATTGTGGTTTGAGCCAGACTTCAGCTGTGATAGTGTGTACACAGCAGGATCTGGTTGGGAGGAGAAAATGGCAGCTCACTCTTCATCAACCACGCGGTGGATTCAGCCACAGAGCTCTGCAGCTGACTGACCACTCCTGTCACCCGAGGCTGGCCTCAGGAAAGACATGCTACAAGCCCAGATTATGATCGCAAGACAGTGGCGATATTTGCTTGTTGTTGACACAAGAACTGAAGCTAAGTAGAAAAATGTGTCTGGCTTTGATGTGGGTCCTTCTGGCAGGCAGCAGGGGAACACTGGGAAGTAGGGATGAGCTGCATCCAGGAGCTGGTGTTGGGGTGGCAGGTGCCTTCAGCAGCGCCTTCAGCATGTGACCTTCAGCTTTGGGGCCGCTCTGGTTTCTGAAATGCCCCTGTCTGTCTCTGACCTTTAACCCAGTACTAGAGTGACTCCTATGCTTTTCCCAAACAAGGCATGAGCTTCTAGTTCTCTAGGTCTCATCCTGTAACCACCCTAGACACCTTCTTCTCCCACCTCCCTTGAGCTGCTGTGAAGTGCTGACCCTCTTGCAATGCCGATCCCTGTGTTCCACCCTCCCACAAGTGCTCTGCCTCCCTGCCCAGGGCAGGCAGCCCTTCCTCCAGTTCCCCCAGAGCTTCCCACCTCCATCCACATGGTAACACTTAATGTGGCTTTATCTTCAAGTATTTCTATTTTTGCCCTCCTGGATTCCAGTTTTCTACATCTTCTATTTTATTGGTGACATTCTTTATATTATAGTCTGTCCAATAATTATAGACGGGGAAAGGAGTTTTTTTAAATAGCAAATCAAAACATATGTCTTAACATTTTTCTTTTTTTGAGACAATGCCTTGCTATGTAGTGTAGGCTGGTCTCGGACTCACAACCCTCCTGCCTCAGCCCTCAAGTGCTGCAATTACAGATGTGAACCACAACGTCTGACTTAGATTTCCTTCTTTACTTCCTTTCTGCCTTCCCTCTTTTCTCCTTCTTTCCATTATTCCTCCTTTAGATATTTTTCTTAGCAACTGTTTCAATATGTGACTTGCTCCCCTAGTAGATATTCAGCTCCTTGACTACATCTTGTTTAGTAGAGGACCTGACCTTTCTAGGTACCCAATAAGCATCTCTTCATTTAGTCAGTAGCATCCAGCTCTAGGGCTGTCTTACAGCAGAGAAGTGGCTGGAAGAGCTCCCATTCAACCCCAGGGCATGGAAGGTGCCTCCGATGCATTAACTGTCACCTGTTCTTAGACACTATGCACCTTTCCCAGTGGAAGTGATTATTTTCAGTAGCATTATCAGGTTGGCTTATTAATAAGGGTGCCAGTAGGAAACAGGCCATGCTCAAAAGTGGGAAATTCAAGCAAATTTAACAAAAGTGTGGACAAGTATAGGAAATCACAGGAAGTGGTGCAGTATCCCAGGGTCAAGGGGCCTGACTTTCACCCTTCAGCCAGAAATATTGGCTATAGAGAGCAGCAGAACCAATGGAAAGAGAGAGCAGAAGGCTTGGGAGGGCAGCCATGGGCTGAATTGACCTGCTGCAACACCCCCCTCCCAAGACATTGAAAGAATAAGTCCCCAGGTCACCCTCATCTGTCTCCCTCTCTAATCAATCTCCTGCTACTGTGCCCCAGGGCAGAGTGAAGCCACAAGTCAGAGGCAGGAGGCCCACAGGGATCAGGATCCTTGGCCACAGCACAGGGTGGAGAGGAGCAGAGAACAGATCTGGATGAGCAAGGGGAGGGCATTGCTATTTAATGATTCTCTTTCACTCACAGGCTCTTTTATCAGTCATACCTGGGTATTGTGAGACTGTACATTCAAACAGCGAGGCGTCAACAGGGAGAAAGGCACAGTAGTTTTCCTGACTTGAGCATTTGGACACGTGACCACCAGGACTCCTCAGCCCCCAATCTCTTCTAATAGCCTTTGTGTACTACCTTGACAGATGCAAATTCTCTATTTCTAGAAGGAGATTCTGCTCACATGTTCCGCTGGGCTCTGGGACCGGGATGTGAGCTGCATGCCTGTTGACTGTGGCATCCCTGACCCAACTTTGGTGAACTATGCAAACTTCTCCTGCTCAGAAGGCACCGACTTTCTAAAACGCTGCTCCATCTCTTGTGTGCCACCAGCCAAGCTTCAAGGTATTGTCTTGCCAACCAGGCACTTACACCTGTTCTCTTTGAGGGACTTGGGGGCTTTTTTCTTTACCCCATACCCTTGCCATTTGTTCTACCATGACACCCTCTCTTGATGACACAGGGAAAATCCCAAATGGAAACAGCATTCTTTGGGCCTGACTACCTGGAAGAATTTCCTGGCTCAGGGTCTCATTCATGGAAGAAGCTTAGATTTTTCTTTATTTTTGTTTGCTTATGTGCTCTGGCTTCAAGTCAAACAAATAAGCACAGTGGTCTTGATAATATTAATAACCTAGGTATACTTTATGATATGCATTTTAAAATTTAGTTTTTACAGCCATTCTGTGAGTTCATTTTGCTCTGTCTTGTGGATGAGAAGAACAGAGTTTCATCAGTTGACCTTGGCTGTCATGTTAGAGATGAAGATGGAGTGCAATCTAGGCTAATTGACCCTGATACTTTGCTTTTTACCTTACCGGGCTTCTCAGACTTTGGTGCATGTAACACTTACTCATGATAAACGTAGATTCCCCAGCCTTACTCTGAGAAATTCTGGTTTACCAGGTCTAGTATGAGCTGGTGCTGCTTTTGAGAGTAGGTTCATGGATTGGACTTGGAGAAACCAAGCATTACACTGAGGCCTGGGGATGTAGTGTTTTAGCAGAACTTTGAATCCAAATGGGCTACGTTCAAATTTGAACACTGCCTGTTAGGGCTTGGGCAGGTTACTAATTTCTTCATCTGCACAATAAAGAATCTATTTCATAAGCTTGTTTGAGGTTTGGAGATTACAAAAGTTAATACATGTAAGACACTTTAAACAGTGCCTGACACATAGTAACCATGACAAAAAATGCTGTACATTATTGTTTTAACACTGTCTGTATTACTATCAGTGCTATATTTCTATTATTTGTGAGTAGGAAGGAAGGCAATGATTTAGTAAATAGCCCTTTTAACGCAACTTATGTGACCTCTGTCCTATATATTGCTCTATTCAATGAATGCTCTATGGGCAACAAGATACAGGATGAACATTTGATGTGCGACTTTAGAAACACTGCTCAAAAAAAGGATAATGTGGCTTTGAAGAATTTCTCTGACAGATTTTCATGCTTTTTACTGTTGCTGTTACTCTGCCTTCTGAGCACTCTGTGCTTCTCTTTCTTGGAGTCAGGACTGAGCCCATGGCTGACCTGCCTTGAAGACGGAATGTGGTCTCTTCCTGAAGTCTACTGCAAGCTTGAATGTGACACACCCCCTGCCATTCCAAATGCCAACTTGCTCCTACCTGACTGTGTCCAGGGAAGCCACGATGTGGGCACCATCTGCAGATACGAATGCCAGCCAGGCTACCATGTGCTGGAGGGTACAGCGAGTACAGTCAGGAAGTAAGTGGCAGCATACTTGGTCCTCACTGTCTTTCTGCCCACAAACCTGGCTCCTATGCCCTCATTTGTAAATCCCAGACCATTCCGTGGGAAAGATTGGGAAGATCTTTTGAGATACCCACTGCTTGCTGTACTTACTTTTCTACACAATTTCTCCTCACCTGTACAGGTATATTCTTCAATAGTGACAGGAAAATGACATTCTGTGTTATATTTAAAGACATTCTTTCCCGTAGGAGATTTCATAATTTCACCTATATGCTTTTTTAAAAGAATTTCTGCACTGATTGTTAGTTTCCTTGCAACTCGTTGTCAGGAACTGCCAAGCATTATCCATGTCACTTGACTCCAGCTCTGCCCTGGCACATCCTCATCTGTTCAGATTATAACTGTGGCTTGTGCAGAAACTGCCTGGCAGAGTCCCCAGTCCAAACAGTTACTAAATAGATGTGTGATGTTGGGAAGGTTTCATTTTCTGTCTCAGTCTTCTCTTCTGTAAAATGGGGATGATAAGAATAACAGCTACCTTATAGGGCTGTTATAGGTACTAATTGAATTAACAGTATGCTTTTTTAAAAAAACATAAAATACAACACATTCTAGCTATTGATTTTCTCTTATGGTCCTTCTGCTTTCTTCTCCCCGAATTTGATGGATACACAATCACAGGGTCATACCCAAAATACCTTCCTTCTGAAGGCATGAAGAATAAGAAAGGCAAATGCAGTACTTTACAAATATGGCATAATTTACAATAATAGGCTCTCAGGGGGGGTCTGTCTAGAATCCAAATGCTGGTCTTTCCTTTACCAGCTGAATAACCTCAGGTAAGTTTCTTAACTCTTTGCGTCTTGGTCTCCTTTGTAGATTGAGAGTAAATGCCCCCAGCAGAGGGGTGAGCTGAAAGCTAAACAGATACCAGTGCAGAGCCTGGCTTGTGCCAAAACTCAAGCAATGCTTTCAGGAAAGAAAAAAAAAACTTATGAACAACCAAACAAATAAGTGTTTTGGGAAAAAGAAATTCTTCGTATTTAGTAAGAAGGTGTTCTTACCATACTTTAATTTTATAGGTACCAGAGAAAATTGAATCCATTTCTTACCTAGGATTTAGTTCAAAGCCTGCATAGGTTTTCTGTTTTAAGATATTTGTAACTAACAAAATCCAATCCACAGCATTACCGTGTTGCTGCAGATATAACCTTTGCTTGTAGACAGAATGAAATCAGGAAACTTATCCTCTGGCTCACACTCATCCCTGCTGTAGTTGATCCCAGCCATGTTAACATGGAACGTAGAGAGCCTTGGCCTGGCCCAGGCCCTTCCACCCTGGAAAAAGCCCAGGCTCAAAGGTGGGAGGAGAAGAACAAACACCTTTCCTGTCCTCTCAGCCAGAGGAAAGAGCTAGGCTGATTAGAACATGAATGATACTGATGAAAACTTCATAGCAGGAGTCACTCTTTGCTTCAGTGGACCCTAGTGGGTGCAGTGAACCATTTTTGACAATGCAGAGCACATCTGCATGTGATTTTCCTAGGATCTAGGTGTAATCTGCATCGGTGCACGCTGACAAGTGGTGAGTGCCCAGTAATCTTCAAGTGAAGATGTGATGCTAGCTCACCCGAAGGCTGCCATTTCTTGTCCCACCCCCTTTCTCTGGCCTGCCTTTTCATGCTCTAGCAGTCACTTTGGATATCTGCAGAGTTGCACAGTGTAGAATAATTGAGGGAGACTGAAAGGTATCAGGACATGAAAGAATTAAGGATGGAGAGCTGACTGCCAGTTCCCTGGGCCTAAGGCTGATCTTCCTGGTGGGAAAAATGAGGTCTCCTCTCAGAACTCTGGGTTTTTGGCCTCAGCCTTGTAGCTCTGCCCTGAGGCAGGGGCACTTGAGAGCCATGTGTGGACCTAGCTTTTCTGGCTGAGAAACTGGATGCTTGTATCACAAAGTCAGCAACAGTTTTGGCTTAAACATTTACATTCGCAAGCACCGTGCTAAGGAGAGATTAAATTATTTACTGCCCTGTGTAAACAGATTAAATCTTAGTTTACACCTGTTTACATAGCAGGCAACAATTGGTAATCAGAAGTTTGCATGGCAGGCATAAATCACTGTCACTTGCCACTTGTGTTTATCCAGTGAAATATGTCAGCCTTGTTCCTCCTTGGAAAAAGCCCAGTGTTGTACAAATAGGGCCCTAAAATTCTTCTTAGGATATGCACCCATGAAGAGAAGAAACTGAGAAATGCAGGCAGGGAAATGAACCCCAAGAGAGCAGGCACATGCTAATTTATGCAGTTGTACAATGTGTAGTAGAGGGAAAAACAAATACTTGATGGTCAGATCTGTAATTTGTTTGTGTGGCTCTGAGCAATATATTCAACATCCACAGGTATTAGGTTTTGCATCTGTAATACGAAGGTAGTAATTATTTGTATCCAACAGGATGCTTTTGAGGCTAAAAGTTGGGTAATGCACTAAAAACATTTTATAAACTGTGAGTTCAATGCATATGCCATGCTGAGTATTAGTGCTTGTTCATTTCTTTTGAAAAGAAGGAAGCAACTACCAAAGTGTCAGCCAAACGCATTCTCTTTCTGCTTCTTCCAAAGTCTATTGTAGAGTAAGTACTGGACTTGACTTCTGAGATCCCTTTGTCCCACTCCACGTAGGAAGAGCAGGGAATGTGCATTTATCACATGCACACTTCATGCCAGGATCTGGTCAGGAATGAGAAAGACACAGGAATGATACCTAGGCAAGCACATCTCCAAACTGGAGGCAAGCTCTGTTTTTATGGAATGATGGGTTACACACCCTTGAAAGTCATTTGTTCTATTCCACCTCATGCCCGATTTTTCTTCTTCCTCTCTGTCTCTTCTCAATTTTCTTTCCTAGCCTTTTCCCTCTGCCTATTTCTTCTGTGTTGGTGTCTCTGAGTTCTTTTTTCTCTCTTGACCTATACATTTTTCCGGGATGAAGCTCCTTTAGTTTATAGCTTCGATTACTACTTACATACCGATGATTCCTAAATCCATATCTGCCACTGTAGACTTTTCCCTTAAGGACTAAGAGGGCTATAAGGCCAAATGCCTACAGTTACCCCATCTGCACCTCAAGCTCTTAACTGTACAGCGAAGTTCATAATAATTCTTTTCAGGTCTGGACATCTCTTTGCAGCAGAAAAATAAAAATTAAAAAATCTTCAAAAAAACTCAAATTCAACAATAATATTCTCCTAGATAAAAATGAATAACAAGTCTTTCTTCGGTTAAAGGGTGAAAACAGCTTAAGTCAAAATATTTTCAGGGTCTTGTGTGATCTACCTGGACCTTGTTTATTTCTCAAGCCTTGATCCCCCACTCTCTTCCCCAGTCCACTTCTCACCATTTACACACCTGCTGTAGTACAGGCTGTAATGCCACTGAACTAATTCATTGTTGCCGTAGAAGTCATGGCTAGCATGCCTCTGGGCCTTCACACATGCTATTCCTTCTGCCCAGAGCTTTTCCTGGACCTTTTTCTTGGCCAATTCTTACTCTACTGTGTTTAGCATAGGCATGAGTTTTCATTCAGGAGGCCCACCAGTTCTCCCCAGACTACAGGAAGAGCTACTCCCTGTACTTCCATTGCGGAGGATGACATCATCTACTCCCCTGATTACCAATAATCCGATTACTCACCTATGTTCTCCAATAGACCATACATATTTTACTTAGCATTTTGTGTGCAGTGGCAGGTGTATTCACTTGCAGGTGCCCGATACTCTCTGAATTGAGAAAAGCATGACAGGATATTGATGTTAAAATAAAATTGATGTTAAAAAATAGTGAAGAAAAGAGAAGGTTTTTCTTATTGAGTGATGGGGGGAAGAAAACTTTAAAAATATACGTGTGTTTTTCTTCTAACAACTTTCTCTGTCACATAGAAGGAATGGTCAACTCTCCAAAGACAGTTTTAATTTTATTTATTCAACAGACATTTCCACTTGGTTAGCACAACTCTGTACAAGTTACTGGTAATCAAAAAAAGATGGACATCACAACAAGTCCCCTGGAACAATGCTTCTGAGACTTGGCTGCACATAGAATCACCCAGGAGATTTTAAAAGTCCTACTGTCCCTGTCATACTCCAGCCAATTACAGACAGTCTCTGACTTACCATGTTTCCACTTAAGATTTTTTTTTACTTTATTACAGTACAAAAATGGTATTTATTCAATAGAGACTATTTCAAATTTTGAATTTTATTTTTTTCCTGGACTAATATTATATGTGCCCTCTCCACAGTATACTGTGTAGGTAAGCTCTGATGTCCAGTAGATTAGGTATGTCACATGCACTTTCTGGCCTGCAGCATTTTCAATTTATGAAGGGTTTACTGGGATGCAACCCACTGTAAGCTAAGGGGCATTTGTACACCAGTAACTCGGGTGAGACCAGGTCATGGGTATTTTAAAAGCTACCCGAGTCCCTACAGTATGCAGCCAAGGTCAAGAACTAGACCAGTGCAACCTTTGGTCTTTTTCAAATGATATCAGTCATGAGATTTGGCTCTTCTAAAAAAGAAAAAAATAAATAAACATTATCTTTTTTCAAAGTTAGCACATTAGCCTTTTGCATGACAGAGTTTTACATGTCACTTTAAGGATTATTTACTTTTAAAGGTACTAGAGAAAATATAAGAAGTAGAACTTGAAAGAAGTTGCAAAGTTTCTAATTTCAAGAATTGTTTTCTCTTCACAATGTTTGATAAGCACAAACTTTCCTGAAGAAAAGCCCTTTTCTTTTTCTTTTATGCAATTTACTTCCACAAACACATCATCATTAATCAATTCTTCATTGTTGCATTAACTTGACTTCCTAGGAAGCTAAAATAAATGTTTGACTTATATTTTATCAAAAAGACCATATTAAACTCTCCCTTATCTTTCACTTCCGTGGTTGCCTTTTTCTCATTATGTGTTATCTTTCTGTGTGAAGGTTAGGTTAACTTCATTAG